GCCGCTGTGGCCCGTCGCCGACCCAATTGGTAGTACAACATTCTCTGAAGCGATACCCTCACCTCCCTAGGAACAACGCAAGACACAGAATGTTGAGGAAAGTATAAAAACTAGACATAACGCACAGAGCAATCAATTCCTCTTCCCATCGTCGTCGAAGCTCAGTAGATGATCAGTAGAGAACCAATAGCAGGCTAACAGAGAAATGGTCACCCCAATGGAGCAAAAGACGCTGATGAACATGAGCGGAGCGAAGGTCATAGAAGGCAACACTGCCGGTAGAATCTGAACAGAAACAGTAATAGAGGATAGACTGATGCCTCCTCACCCATTGATGCATAACACAGGCCGTCGCCGTTATGGCCACTACGTAGCGATGGAACCTTCCACCGTCGGCACTCATGGAGGCAATGCAGCAATCGATCGACCACGAGAGCAACTGACAGAAATGACGTGACCATTGGGGCTGGAGAGGCCGCTACCGTGAGGGTCCACTTGAGGCCTAGCTCTGGGGGGGAATCGGGTAGAAGGGGCAGCAGGGAGGCCATCATGAAGGTTGAGAGGGAGGCTACTGCTGTCACGTAGCGACAAGAGCCGTGGAGATCCCTCTTGAGGATAATCTGAACCGAGGAGTCGACCAGGGTCATTGGGAAGCATCGTACCTCCAACATCATAGGGGCCACGACTGTAACCAGGGCCTTCTCATGGACATGCCATCCGCACATGAATGACGCACTGCTACCTGATGGGAAGAGTCTCGTCGTGTCACCGTCCAAGCGCGCCTTACCCATAGTAGACCAGAACAGCAACCTTCTTTGACTACCATGAGGCCGGCCAGACTCCCGGACTATACCAGTGAGTATGGGAAGATAGACGGCAACTAAGACAACTACGATGGACTCTTATAGTAATAGATACTACCAGTAGCTAGCAAGGCGTGGATCGGTCGAATGGGAGGGAGAACTGTAGGGTCCATCACTTGGACCAAACCGTGCGTAAAGGCCGATCCAGGGAGGCCTTTCAACTTAGCCAACACCACATCAGCACCGTAGTATAGAGCCCTGCCATCAACGCGGTCAGCTTCTCCGAGTAAAAGACAGTATTTAAATATATTTTTAGTTTCCTCAGCTGATCTCAGAAGTTCCCCCACTAATTAAAGAATTTACACATAACTAGGGTAAAGAAACCAATATGAATTCCCCAGAAATGTCCTCAGAGTTTTCTTATAGTTACCAACACATGTAGCTGAACTTGTGCATATCCCCCACAAAATATATAACTCACCAGACGTTGGGTGCCCAATAGGCGTGTGTGAGACCCCTGTCGAAGGGGAACATCCGGCTGAGCATCGGCTGCAGTTCTCCGTTGTAACTAAGAACACTATAAACCACGGCATACTTCCATACATGGCGTACATTATAGCAGTAGACTACAGCTGTGTGGCGAGCACTACCACTACGAGTTCGAGGAG